CGGAAAGCAGGGTGGTCCTTTCGCTGCTGTCTGCTGTTCACACAGTAGCCCAGCAATGACTGCACCCACCCAGAAAATAAATTGATTTCTCCTCTTCAGGCAGTTTACTCTCTCATCCCCTGTTTGCCAAGAGAAGGACCCACGGTCACAGAGAGAAAGCCTGCTCCTCACCTGAGAGAGCAGGGAAATACCTGGAGGGTCTGCTGAGCATCCACAAAACCATGCAGAGGATGGAGATGTTGACTTGGATTCCCCTGGTCAAAGACAACATTGAACCTGGGTATGACATTCTACTAAGTAAATGCTTAAGAGACCACCAGGCTACTCCATACTGTGAGGGACAGTGTTTCCTCTGCTTGTGTTCCCAGTGAAGACTAACTCCAAGACAAAATCAAAGGCTGGGAATTCAGTTTAACACAGACACCCTCAGACTCCCTTAGCATCTCTCACTGGCCCTCGTTTTGCCTTTGACCACTGTGAATGAGGACATCATCCTCCCCACAGGAAACTTACAGGTCTTGGCTCAAGGCTGTGCACTCCCAGTACGGGATCATGGCAATGCTGGCTCTTTATGGCTCTAACCTGAGGAATTCAACTTGTACGCACTAAAAAAACCTCTCCTTACTTTTGTAGCAAATGATGCATACACCACAGAGCCAAAAATTCACTGCCACTAAATATTTTATCTGATCAGCAGCTAGTTGCACAAATAAAGCACAACATTGCACTGCTCTAAGGCTTCAGACGTTAGCTCATAACATCATAGCAGCATATCCCAGCTAATAATGGGATACAGTGAAGCCTGGTACCTGAAGATTGAACACCACCATCCTGGAAACAGTGTAGTTATTTTAAAGCGGTCACATAAAACCAGCAGCTGCAACTACAGGCGGGGTCTAGCACAGCTTTTGCAGGATTTAAAATTGATATAGATTGCTGTGAAATTAGGCCAGTAACACAGAGGGGCCAACGAAAACCTGCTTGCAGTCGGTCTGCATTGCAGTTTTTCTGTGCCTTGTTTCCTCCCTGCCTGTCTTTCCCAGAGCTGTCAGCCGCCCCAGCCCGTCTTGCAGTGACTTGCCTCCTCATCTCCTGGGCTTCGCTATTCCTACCACTGCCGTGTACAGCCAGGGCACGGTCGGGTCCCAGCTGCAAGGTGGAGAGCTCTCTTATTCTACCACAAACCCAGCAGCTGCAGCACCAAGTTGAAAAGTTAGGAGCATGCTGAATTCAAGCAGGCAAACTCTCCCAGAAAAGCTCGACAGCAATCACAAATGTAAGTCAGGCAATGTGTTGAAACCACACATGCACAAGGGAGGAAAGAGGCAGTTCCTGGAGGAAAATGATCGAGTGCTTAGACAATTTCACAGCAAAAGAATCCGTTACCTTTATCCTCCAAAGGAGACTTTATTTTAAATCAGTCCTTCACTAGCAGGAAAAGGAAATCAAAGTCCCAATTCCATCTTGCATTTGACTTATTTATTTCGCATGCCTGCTCTGTGAAGCATTACACTGTTCCTGTCCTTTGTCAGCGTTCTCATTTCCAGAGCCTCTCCTGCTTTTCCCGTAAACAGCTCCAGCCTTGACACAATCGCAGCCCGAAGGCCACCCCTGCTGAGCAGCACAACAGTTGTCCCCAGCAGGCAGGACACTGACTTACTGCTCTTGAGGCTCAGGCAGAGCCCAGGAAAAGAAGCAGCGCTTGGCCTCGGCTGCGTCCGCCCCGGCAGGGCTGGCTCACATCTCTGGGAGTCTGAAAATGGGACTTCTGGAGAAAACAGGGCAGGAATACTGAAGTTTCAGCCAAGCTAGTTAGCTTAGTGCCAGCGCTTCTGGAAGCAATCACAGAGCTAACCGCAAGCCCAGGGCCAGCCACACTGCGTGACACTCTTCTTACTACGAGATGAGGAGTTGTAGATATTGGGACAAAAAATGGGACTTGAGGAATGAAGCATAGCACATTGCTGATTTTCTTAAGCAAAGCTGGGTTAGAAGAAGATCAGGACACAGAGCAGTAAAAGGCAGCAGGCTGACCTGCGGCAGCAGGCATCACAGACACGTACGCAGGGAAGCCTCATAGAACTGATGTCAAACAAAGAACAACCACTGGAATGATCACAAGAGTCTCAAAAAAGCTCATATATGACGAGTGGACCAGAGCAGTAATTAACTGGGAGAGCGCCATAAAATTATTTCCACTTATAGCACAGCCTTTTTTTTTTTTTAAAGTGCATTAGATAAACACTGAATGCTAGTATTCAAAGAGATTACAGGAATTTATGTTACTTTTAGATCGTTAAAACCTGAGTATTATGTGCATTGTGCATATATTGCAATCCTTTGCAGCACAATACAAAACATATCAATGTTTCCACTCCCCGTGTTATGTCTTCATGCAAAGGGGGAGAAAAGGAAAGATGTTTTATTCAAGAAAAAAACTCCACAAACGCTGCATGTGAAAGAAAACAGCTTACAAGACGTAAATATAAAATATGTAAGAGACCTGAGAATACATTTGCTGTCAAATTCACTTCCAGGCAAAGGATACTACACTAAATGTTCTGCCAGAATCCTCATGGACTCCGGTAAGTAATGAGGTATATGAGATTTGCTACAGGATAAGCTTCCACACTGCTAGTCTTGCAATCTGAGTAGTGCCAAGAACATCAAGTCGCAGTATCTATATGTCTGGAAGCATTGGTTTTCATTATGTTATCATAAACATCTTTATATCTTGCATTTAAAGCAGTCATTTATACAAGACTTTTAAAATACATTAGTACTTTCAATCTTCCTTTGCTGAATTGCAGGAGAGGAAAAGCTGCCGGACACGATCGCCCAGCTTGGCAAAAGCGCATTTGTTGTCCATTTCTTATGGTAAAGAGACTGATCAGTCTTTCCAGTACTGAAGTTGATAACAAATTTTTTCCAGTTACTGAGTTTCTGGTCACCTTTACTTACTCCACATATATGTTCCCCCCAAACAGGCAGATTTTCATTACCGCCCTAGCCATTTTTACATTGTAGAGAACTCATTTGTCATTTCAAATGTAAACTCCTCAAAGCATCCAAGAAGAAGCTGTGCTGTAAGTCTGCATGGAGCTAACAAATCTGCAAATACTCACTCCACACACACATACTCACACCCACACTTAGTTTTTGGTCATAGCACACCTCAGTTCTGCAGTTTGATATCGATTCTGTGGTGCAGTTTATCTCACTGCAGCTTCACCCCTGCAGCTTTCATCTAAGCCGCTTCCTAACAGCATGGATTTTCTGCTCCCCACCTCGTAATAATTTAAGGCCGAGATTTTGCAAGGAGAGCCTTGGGACTCTGAAACCCAGAGACAGCTCCACAAAAGTTTCTCTCCCCAGCACTCAATTCTCTCCCACCGTTTTGTCTGCACGTCCCTCCCATTCCCTCCTTTCTCACACCATGGGACAGTGATGGTTATGGGTCCCTTTGGTTCTTGATCAGCCTGTATATTCAGAAATTCTCGCCTACAAGTCAGATGGCTCCTCTGGCTGCTTCCCCAAGAGCCTCCGGAGAAAACTGGAGCAAACAACCCCACCACTAACAAGGGACAAAGCAAGTCTCACCTCCTCCTGCACAGAAACATCACCTAGCATCCATTCCCCACTCCCAGAGATGCTACTTGCCAAAAACAGCAGCAGGAGCACGCAGCAAACCACTGGGTCTGCTGAACAGAGTTGTCTCCTTCTCCTCTCCCCATAAAAACCACTGGGAACAGCCTCCAGCCATTTCAGCAAACCATAAAAGCTGCTGGTCTGCTCCAAAGGCCAGCAGACTTCTCTTTCACCTCTTCCAACATGCCCCCAGCAACTCAAAAACGAGCAAGGTGTCTGTACCCACATGCGGTCTCTCCTCCCTTCCCACAGACAGGTAGGACAACGGGGAAATACTGCAGAGGCAGACACAATTTGTGCAACGCTTTATTACACTGCTGAAGACTGGGAATCGGTTCTGGTGACAGCCTCTTTTCTGTTACCCAGGCTGAGGAAGTCAATAGTACAATGTTATTACAAAGTCACTGTCCCACTCTCTCAATACCGTCATTTGCAACTCTGTCCTGTTAAAAGGGCGACTCGAGATGCAAAGTGTAACGCTGTTACAACCACGTGTCCTCCAGTTGCCAGGATATTTGCAACTCCTGTTACTTCCCAAATGGCAAAGAGCAGTCTCTAAGCTTCTGAGTGATACTGCAGTCAGACTAAGACTTCGGGTGAAAGGCAGTAGCACAGATCTTCACAACAGACAAACGTATGATTATAGCAAAGCATGGAAAGCTCTACTTGGCGCAGAGTGTAAAGTCAGAGCTTACAGTTCAAGAACAGAACATGCTGATGTGATTCTAAAGAAATTGGTACTTGCAGCAAGAGGAAAGACAAGTTACCACAACCTTTTGTGGGAAAGAAAGGGAATCAGTAAAAGCTATGTCTACAATGGTAGCTTATATTTCAGTCTTAACAGAAACCAGCATTTTGACTTACACTCCCTTTTAAAACAAACCTGATGTTGCCTTACACAGTGTCAGCTAAGGCTCTGGCTTTACTACACTTACTTCATACAGCAGAACCATATCAAAGCTCCTGAACTCCCAGAAAAGTGCTTGCACAACTGCAGAGCTAACACTCAGAAGAATCATGCAATATAAGGCTACAAGTACAAAATGAAAAAGCCAAATTGACCCTTTTATTGTATTTGGAAATACTGATTTCCCAAATAAAGCACTTTCACGGTAACCTAGAAAACATACTCTTCCCAAACCTGGAGCCTAGAAGTTAGTGGTGAAAAAGACATTTTAGAATGAAGTAAATGTACTGCATAGGCTAGATATTTAAATCCAAATTCCAAAAGCGATTTGGCTTAATTGTGAAATTACTTAAAACTGAACAGAAAGAAAAAACTATATGCTTATAAAAATCTGAAAACAAATCCAGGTTGACCCTAACAGCAAATTAGAAAATAACTCATTTAAGACAGGAATTTCATGCTGCCTTTTTTTTTTTTTTTTTTAAATAAGGCAGCCTGACAAAAGCACAATTTGAAGAGAGGTTTGCTGCTTTTTCCATGGAGCTGTTCTTTCTAGAATACCTGCTCAACCTCAGCTTGTCTCCTTCAGTTAATCCAAGCCAAGACTGGTACTGGACACACAATGTCACAACACTGCAGTGAATACTGGCCTGCCAGCCCACGCTGCAGCTTTGCTTGCCCCAGCCTGCATTCTGGAGCAATGACAAAGCTTTATGACACAGCGTGTTCAGAATAGAGACTGGTGCTTAACAGAGAGTGTCAGAGACCTCAATTATCATTTTAAACCATTTGAAAACTAAGTTAATTAACAATAGTGCCTTTTGTGGTTCTTAGATTTTTATTTCAAATTTGTTCTTGCAGGTTCACTTTTTTTAATATTCCCTTCTATCAGTGTATAGTTCCCAGAAATAATCCCTGTCAGGCAATGCAGTTTTCTGAAAAGATAGTATCTTCCATCCTCACCACATTTTCAATAAACTCTGAAGTCAGTCAATGATCAGACTAAGATAAAGTGCATATATTCGTTTCTGATACAGGCAACGAAGTTTTGGATTGAAAAAATAAATCATACTGAAACCACACAAAAAATCCTACTGTGGCCATTTAGCACCCCACAATTAAGTTGTCCCACTGAGCACTGCCCAAAAATACTTTTCTTCAAGTGCTTGTTAGCTTAAAAAAAAAAAAAGGAACTTAGAACATTAAAAATAATGCTTCCTTTTTAATGAGACTCTGAGAATCATGAATTTATGCAATCCTTGAAAGCTACAGCTCCTTCAAGGCTGGCATACTGCCTTGACAACTTGCAAGTAGTTTGTATTTTACCCTTTGGATCCAGGCTTCAAGCTCGCAAAAGCTTTGGAGTTCTTAAGGGAATGTGAAATTTCATTGAGAAAAGAAATGAAGTGATAGTCCCTTTCTGACTTCTTGGACTCAAAAATAACTACAATGGTAAAGTGAGGTTCAGGGCGAGTCAAAAAGTACGTGCTTTGGACTTTGTCATCGTAGAAATGAACAACCTTCTCCAAACTGTTGAGGTCAGAGGTTCTGTCAGTCATAATCATGATTACATTGGGCCAGTGCATAACAGGCCTGTCGCTGGGCAGAGACACCACTGCAGGGTACTGATCCACTCCTTTGGGGGCTTCCCTGTAAGAATGGGGGTGATGATAACCATGTCCCTGAAAACTCTCTGATCCACGATTGTCAAAAATTAAGGAAACGTTGATGGCATCATACTTCCGGATGAAGCTGGAAATTTTCCCAAAGTAATCAGGATTTGTTTTAGCAGTCAAAGTTTTCATTTCAGATGCTGTTGTTTGTCGACTAAGGGCCTCGTGAAAGTAAAAACTAAACTTGGCAAGGAGAATGTTTTTGAGCTTCATCAGCCAGAGGAAGAGGTGTGGAGGTTGCACAGCCTTCTGAGACTGCCCTCCAAACAGATGCTTCTTGGTCTCTCGCTGTTTCTCAAAAATTTGTCCCCAAGTCTGTAGTTTTGTGTGAGCAGTGTGCAAGTTGACCAGGGATGGAAGGAACTTCCACTCTGAGATCTGAGCCTGAGCCTTTAAGAGGTGCGCAAGCACATCTACTTCCAGCTGGAAACTGCTTTCAAGAGGACTGAGGATTGGATGATGAAATCTAGAAAACATAACATGATTCAAGATATGAGAACTGCTGTACGCAGCGAAATAATCAGATAGTATGCGTCAATTCACAGACAGAAGACCAAACATCAAAGCAAAGTGTAAACCAAAAATACGCTTGTTAATTTTAAAGAAGATCGTTTAACATAATTAGGGAAAATACTTTAATGAGCATATAGCACTTTGCATTTGACAGAAACACCTGTCAGACATTTCTCTATCAAAGCAAGGGAGTTATATTTGATCAGTTCAACAATAATCACTGTTTATTTTGATCCATGAACTACTACAGCACCATTTCTCTTTAAATTCAGGTGGTTTTGTTCCAATTTAAAATCCCTTCTGGTGGTAAAATATGTCTTGATAGTTCTGGAACAGCAGTAAGACATTGAACGAAATCAAAGGAATTATGTTACAAATTTGCTGTTTGTATAGGGAAGCTATGAGGAAGAGAAGCTGAGTCGTTTTGTTCTTTTTTTTTGAAACTCACAATAAAATTGTAATGGGAAATTAGTCAGTAGAACCATGATTAATTGTATTTACCAGTGAACCAGGTCTCAAACTCCAAACCTTGGTGTACTAAAAGCAATGAAGGGGAAAAACATTTGGCAGGATTTCATCCTATCACAATGAAGACTCTGTAACAATCAATTTCTCTCTCACTAAAAATTCAGGTCAAGATCAGCTTTCAATTTAACAGATGTTAAAAAAAAAAACCAACAACCCACAAACCACCTCATCTACCATGTAGAAGTGCCACTGCACATCTTATTCACAAGAGTGACCCTACTGCTAGAACAAATCTCAATGAAGTGGGATTTTATAGATCCATTCTATAGCTTTCTCTTCGCACTTTATTTTTTCTAAACATCACGAGAAAGAGCCAGATCCAGACCTCCCTTCCCTTGATACTCAAATTACTTGTAAATTTATAACACCATCATCGATAAATACACACTTAATTCACACTGTGCAAACCTATTCCAGTTACAGAAGCTAAATACATAACTTTAGAAAGAACAAGTCTTCAGCAAAGACAGAAGTGGCCTTTTTAGTAAATGTGTTCCCTAATGAGCATTTAGGACTCAAAGAGGTCTCCAACAAAGAACAATCAATAGTTCAAACACAAGACTTGATGAGGTTTCCACTTAAGTGAAGACAGACTTATCTCCTCACTTCTGAAAAATATCCTGGGTCTTGTTATTGGTTTACAACAAAGTTTATACTGTATCCTTCTAACCTTTACAGCTGATCTTCAGACACGTGAAAATGACTCTATTATTCACCTCAGCTTCCAGGACACAATACATATAATCAATTTGGAAATACTTGGTTCAAAACCAAAACACTTAATTTTGTTGTGGGCCAGAAGAGAGAATGAGAATTTTAGGGTTTCCATCCCCCTCTCCCTTCACTATTTTTTCTTCAACTTTCCATCAAGCTCTTGCCAAAACATTCATTCTTAGGCTTGTGAAAATTGTCTATCAATTTTATCACTATTTTTAAATGTCTTTTTTTTGACAGCCACAATACATGTCTTGAAAGGATTTGCTATTAAGATGCAAGTCCAAATTTATTTGAAGAAAATGAAATTATGACTATCACAAAACAGTTGATGCAACATGTTCTGCAAACAGGCTAGGTCGTGTGACCAGCCACCTTCTGTGCAGCGTACATGTCAGCAACCGTCATACCCACCTGCTATAGCAGCAGAGATACAGTGATTACTGGCTACTTTGGTGAGCTGAGAAGTCCAGAGTATATTTACATTTCTTTGAACAAACAAGAGTCAATTAAAAATAATATTCTGCTAACAGTCAACATTATACATTTCCAATGGTTTTGGTATTCAGCAGAAAAACAGTTTTGTTGCCACATATTAGAATGGGGGAAAAAAGCATTATGCAAGGTTATTTATTCCAAATATTCCCATTAAGTGCACACTTAGCACAGTGTATTCAACACACCTGCAGTCAGATCAAGAAGGTTATTCTTCAACCTCAAAAGCAATTAAAAAATTCCTACTAGTGCAGCACTGCCAAGTCTCCTGGATTAACGTTATGATGTACAGCTTCACATTCTACTTTGCTTCATGGCTGATAGCTATTTTCATGTTTCACTGCACAGCAGGATTTGCAAAACTGTTTTAAGCCAAAAATACACACCTCAGCCACAGCTGAGAAGCTTGATATGGTTGCAGAGTAAACTAACAAGCTATGTACTCAGTATATCTGCTGCAATTAACTTTCATAACACAGAATCATCCGACTGAGCTCAGTATCACGTAAAACAGGCAGGTTTCTACAACCTTTCAATAAGCCAGAGTGTTAAGAACTTATAAACACATTGGAAATTTGATTTTTCCCCCTAATCATTCTCAGAAGAGTTTTGTTTTGCAGACCATGAAGCAGCCTGATTTTCCTACAGCTTTTTATTTCCTTCTATAGGTCATACGTGCATGCATCTACAAAATACTGACTAAATGAAAAACATTTAAGACTTAAAAATTATTATATAAGAATAGGTTTACTAGTTACTTATTTTATGCTAAGTTTTTAAAGGATCCTGCTTCTGATGTTCTTTTAATTATTTCAGTTAGATCCCACTCAAACCAACAGTTAAAAAATTCAGGAAAAGTTATTTCTCCAGCTGTATTCTATAGAAGAACAGGGAGGAAAATGTCTAGTTTGGCTGTGTACAAGTGTACAACAAAATAGCTTCAAACTGTTCAAGAGTTAATGATTTTTCATACACAGACAATATGACTTGACTGTTGACAGTCAATTAATTCTGTCATTCCTTTACCAGCAAGCAGTTATTCACTCTACGTTATCTGAACAGTATTTTTAGATATAAAGGCGAGAAACCAAGGCCAGAACCTATCTACAGAACAGATGCCCCGTCTGGCTTTAGCACAGTTGGCTGAAATAATGGCACACATCCTCAATTACAAGTGAGAAATATATTGATGGAGGGAAGAGACTGGGTAAGGATGAGTTTATTTAACCTTTCATCTGAGCGGGTCAACAGACCATAAACCAGAAATGCCCACCAGCCAGCGACACATCAACACAGCAGCCCCCAGAAACTGATTCAAGATATGAAGAAACTAAAGGAAGGACTAAAGGAAGATACCATTACCCCCATTTTTTTTCAGAAATATTCTGTACGTGACTGGGGAGGACCACACAGCAGCTACTGAATCAGCTCTAACAGCATTTTAGAATGCCTCCATCTTAGAGACTGCTCATTAACCTAAAGCAAGATCATCAGTATTTTTCCCAGGGAGACATTGCTTTTTTTTTCCCCAAGAGGTTATAATAATGCTTTAGAAGTACAGAGGTGTCACTAAAACTTCTTTAAATAGCGTAGCAAAACATTTCATATATAACAGTCTCCAGTTACTTTGTCAAAGTATCAGGTTTGGTTTTCAGATTTTTAACAGTGCTGTTGACTCAGCACATGATCAGAACAGATAGAAATGGTTAGTGTACAACATAAATCAACTTTTAAAAAAAAAGCTTACCTCCATTTACTCTTTTATGTTTATTGCACCAAGGAAAAAACATGTTTCATTTTTCATTGGACTAACAGCCCTGATATTGTAAGGGTTCACAAACCAAGAATCGCAAAACGATCGCTAGTCAGATCATATAGACTAGCTTTGGTTTTCAAATAGCAAAATTACACAGCAATTTGCCTAAGTTATTCCTAAAATAAATAAGAGAGTCAGCTACAGTGCTTAATTTGGAATGTCAGAAAGCAGCACTGAATTATTCTGATTTTTCGTAGGTGTACACTTTAAAAATCAAACTGAAAAAATAAGACCTTGGAATATTCTCCCCAAAATGTCATCTTAGACACTATTTCACTAACAAAGATCTTAAAAACTTCAACTACATTTGAAAGTTGCCTTTCTATAATGGCTACCTTGTTCTGCTTTAAAATAAAGAGCTAGAACTTGATTCTGTTGACAAGCATTCAAAAACTCTTTTTAATGTGTTAGATGTGAAATACCCACTCCAGAGTCATTTAAAAACACCCCAGGATTCTTGTAACAGGAACTATTAGATCTTAACTTCAAGAAACCATAATGGCAGGGACCAAAGATTCAGAGGTGCCCCTTCCACTGGCTCCAATACCTCTCAAGTAAAGTGCCTCTCAGGGTGCTGGGCCATCTTGTCTAGACTGTGCTCTTAACTAGAAAGGCTGGACCAGATGATCCTTGAGGTCCCTTCCAACCTGGTATTCTATTATTCCAAGTGATAACAGAGCACCATAAAACCCTTCTAGGTAGCCAAATAGCAATGGTGTAATTTTTAGAATTAAGCAGACATATATTCTAGTCTAAAAGTAAAATTGTTGCCCAAATATCTGTTTTATTTACGTATCAATTTTACTGAAGTCCATATGGAATTAAGTCTTGTTTCCCCTCCACTCCTAATGAAAAAGCACAAGAAGTCTTACATCTTTTATAAGGAAAATGACCCTTCCCCTCTGCCGAATATGAACATGAAGAGTATTAATGAAGGAATAGGGAGGATGGCTCCTAGAACATAATGAGCAGAAACACTCCCTTTTTAATTTGTCTTCTTCAGAGGAATCAAAGTGTTTTGAGACTTCTCGCATCTGATGTTGCTGACCAGCATTGACTTCGTGCATGAATTCATGCAAGGGGCTCTGCTGCTCAGCAGTCAAAGGACAGCAAAGTCTTTAGGCTTGCTTTGAACCTCAACATAATTTATTACAGATCATATGTTTGAGTACTTACTGCCAGCAAATAAGCACTGACCTTGAGCTGTATTTCTTTAAGATGGATTCCAAAATGTTTACCAGTTCCTCAGAGTTAATGAACTTTTGGGTGCTGAGCGTGTACATTTTTTCATAGAAGTCAGCAATTTCCATCCGAGCCTGAACAAAAAAACAGAGCTGTTCAGACAGGTGAGAAAGCAGCTCTTCCAAGTGAGGAGCTGTTCCTCCTAGTGCATTGCGACCCGTTGCCACCACCTTCTTCAGCTCATTATGCAGAGATGTGTAGATGGTTCGGATGGAGTCCTTTCGGCTGAAGAATGACTGACCACCTGTTCAGATAAATATGGAGGTATTACCAAAATCCAGGGACAGCAAAGATAGACAGCAATACTGGAAAACTGTATATAACCACACTTCTTTTCCCGTAGGTGTTCCTAAGTGTTGTTTGATCACAGTACTTTTTTTTAAAAAAAAAAAATAAAAAAAAAATCAAGAAACAAATTGCAGCAATTTATTTTGCAACTGAGTTACACATAGCATATACTCAGAAGCACTTTATGTAATTTCATGCAAGTTACACATGTTCCAATTCATGTCTCAGCAGCCAATGACTGCTGCAAAACTTCAACTCCCTCACACCTGCCTCGGTAACAGTATGACCTTTCAGACAACAAGGGTTCAGTTAAATTTGCTACTATGATACACGACCTGGAAATACTGCTATCTGTGGAAGTTAGAAGAATCAAGTCATCGTGAAATTTTAATAGCCTCCACTCCTATTAATAACTCTAGATCTTTTCAAGAGACTTCCCCTAACAATACCTCTTCAATCATGAAGCACTCAAATTTGCAAAGCAACCTTTAAATGGGAACCATGTGACATTTGTGTCTACAAACCAAGTGTTTACAGTCCCTACACAATCTTAATAGAAACTGGAATTCAAAGGGAAAACAATCACAGTTTATCTCAGTGAGACCACAGTGCAGGTTAATCCACAACTAAAACTAAGGCGGGGGGGAGGGGAAGAAGTCTTTGCTTCTCTCTACCTGCTCAACACTATGAGGAATTTAAAAAAGAAAAAAAGAAGACAAATTTAGAGGGTCAATGTAAAACATATTTAACTTTGATGCTACTAAAAGACTGTACAAAGGTACTAACCTTACTTCGTAATTTCTCTTTACAGATGGCCTCACATGCTGCTGTTGCACTCAAAAGCTGCAGCAGAGCAAGGATCACAGGGACTGAATCTGTAGAACTTTTAAAGAGGTTCCAAATTTAGGTTCCACTTTGAAACTGCTTATGAATTTTGTAATGGTGGATAGTCCTTTTCATATCCATTCTACACATATCATAATGTTCAAAAGCGACCTTATCAATTTGAGGCAGAAAGGCAGAGAATTGGTTATCATGGTGAAACAGCTACCTTCCTAAGCTAAGAGTTGCCACTGGGTCACGGGCAGGATGAAGAATCATCTATCGCTGTTGTTCATGAAGTATATGAACAAACAAAACTTTGTTCCTTCTGTTGTCAATTTTATCCTTTCTGCAAGCAGCAAATTTACTTTTTATAGTCAGCCTTATAGATGAGAGTTTTGTCTGTAAAGGTCGTCTTACAGAATAGTTCCAAGTCACTACTTGAACATCAAAGCAGAATTTTCTTGATGCTTTACTGCATTACACACCAGACTCATATCCCTTGATCCATTTTCCATGCCAGTTTGCAGTTCAAAGAGAAAAAATAAGCAGCTTTGCCCAGAAGGCAACACAATGACAGCTCATCCTGTGCCAGTTTGGGATTTTTCTATTCTGGTACTAAGAGAGAGAAGCGGACAAGATTGTAGCCAAAACTTCCTGAGATCCTGCACAGTCTACATGAGTAACAATTTTTAGGTGGCTCTCTTCAGTCCTGAGTACTTACACATATGCAGCTCTAATATTAGGCCCTGGAACTGTGACGTGAAAAAGCTTTAACTCTTTGGTCACCTCACTGAGCTCACCTTTGCCAGAATCTCAGCCAGAGCACCCCATCACGTTCTGGGTAACGGCAGGTAGGTAGCCTACCAAAAGAATTGGCCTACCCCCCCAGCCACTGTGCCACCTGCACGGCACCGGTGCTCTTATTTACTCTTCAGGGGTAGCGCAAATGGCACAGCGGATTTCTCACAGGGCCCGTGGACGCTGGCTGACCCAGCACCTTTGTTTCAGACGCACAGACACGCACCTCACCGAGGCCAGGGGTCCTCAGGTGCCCAGCACTGCGCAACTACACCTTGGCCGACTACCTCCTAGGGCTACGGCGGCCGCCCGTTCCCCATCGCGCTGCCGACACCC